CCTACATTGGCTCCCAGTACATTTCCGAACACAATTCAAAGTGTTGGTGCTGATCTTTAAAGCCCTAAATGGCCTCGGCCCAGTATACCTGAAAGAGCGTTTCCCTCCCATCGTTCAGCCCGGACATTGAGGCTCCGAGAGCCTTCTGGTGGTTCCCTCCCTGTGAGAAGTGAGGTTACAGGGAACCAGGCAAAGGGCCTTCTCGGTAGTGGCACCCGCCCTGTGGAATGCCCTCCTGTCAGATGTCAAGGAAATAGACAACTATCTGACTTTTAGGAGACATCTGAAGGCAGCCCTGTTTAGGGAAGTTTTTAATGTTTGATGTTTTATCATGTTTTTAATATTCTGTTGGGAGCCGCCCAGAGTGGCTGGGGAGACCTGGCCAGATGGGTGGGGTAATAAATAATAATAATAATAATAATAATAATAATAATAATAATAATGTTCTCTAAATGACTCCCTTCCTGCCCCTAATGCCTGGAAGGTCTTCTCAGGACAGCGGCAGAGTCTCACATCTCTCCCTGCCCTGGCCAACCCCAACTCAAACGCTACCTCTCCTTTGAAGCCTTTGGTTTTACCTAGGTATGGAGTATCCCTCCAAATGCGCTGAACTACAACCCCCATCACCCTTTGCTACTGGCAACTCTGGCTGGGGCTGATGGGAGATGCAGTCCAACAGCACGTGGAGAGCCACTGGATCCCAGGTCTTCGGTTAGCAGGTGGTCAGAAAGACTCCTGCCTTAGGCCCTAGCCCAGTGTTTCTCAACCTGTGGGTCCCCGGATGTTGTTGGACTACAACTCCCATCATTCCTAGCCAGCATGACCAGTGGTCAGGGATGATGGGAGTTGTAGTCCAACAACATCTGGGGACCCACAGGCTGAGAACTGCTGCGGCCTAGAGACTCCATGGTCAGTTGGGAGCAGAGTCAGTGTGGTGTAGTGGTTAGAGCAGCATTTCTCCAACTTGGGTCTTCAGCTGTTGTTGGACTGCAACCCCAATCATCCCTAGTGATCAGGGATGATGGGAATTGTAGTCCAACAACAGCTGGAGGAGACCCAAGCTTGAGAAATACTGGTTTAGGAGCGTCAGACTAGGTTCAAATTCCAGCTTGGCCATGACTTGGGCCAGTCACTGCCTCTCAGCCTAGGCTACCTCACTGGGTTGTTGTGGGGGTGAAAGGGGGAGAGCTACGTACGCTCCCTCGAGCTCCTCGGAGGGAAAGTTGGGGAATGGATGCTGTAAGCAAATTGGTCAATCCATTTTGAGCTTGTGGGATCCTTAGTCTGACTCAGTGCAAAGCGGTTTCATATTGCAAAGGGGAGAAAACACACACACACACACACACACACACACACACACACACACACACACACAGTAAGTTAACTGGGGGAGGGGGGAGAATGAGAGAGTCTCTTCCCTCTACACAATTCTCTGAAACGAAATTGCTTCTGGTTATTCCGTTCAGCAAGCACCAAAGAGACTCACCCTTCGTACCGCAAAGCAATTGTGTAGCACAGCGCCACCACTGCCGTCAGGATGAGACCAGCTGGGCTCGCATGCCTGAGTTTGAAAAGGCGGAAGGAGACAAAGAGGTGAGAAACGGGTAAGTGGTTTCTTACGGCCAATATTCGAGAACGGCCTTATGTAAGACGCAGTTGAGTCAGGGGGCCGGGAAGCTGTTGTGCTGGCCCTCCGAAGGAGGAGGCCCAAAGTTTCAAATTTGCCATCGGGTGGCAAACTCTCCCCACCTCCCCACTCTGTCCGTTGGCAAAAAAACGGCCAATCTTTCCTTGGCGAAAACTGCCTCTTGACCTAATTGGGTTCCCTCTCTCTTTGCTAAGTTAAACAATGTGATTTTGCTTTCGGGAGATGGAATGATGAGGCTAACTCCTGAGATTAGGGAGGCTGCTTAAGGTGGTTATATAAGCCCACGGAAAGGAGTCAGCAGAATCGGATGAGGAACGACTCCCGACCCCAAGCTCAGAAATATAGGCCAAGGAGGTTAGAAAGAAGGAGGTAAAAGGGCGACTCAAAAGTGCCGACGTGCATTTGTTGTCTAGATCCGAAAGGAAGACTCAGCTGGATGTGCCCCCATATTTATTTATAAAAGCATTTACGTAAATACCACCAACTCTTAGAATATAACAAGGAGGTGTGTAACGATACGTCCAATGCAACAGCATAAAAATAGTACCAAACATCATTAAAATGACATGTAATAATTAAACGTGTTTCACGATCCACCCTATTCTTCTGATTCTGAATGCTTTGCATTTATTTATATTTGTAACCTTCATCATGTTGTAACCCACTCTAGGACACATGGGGGTGACGGGGACTTAGGGTGCCATTCATTTGTGGTTCTCCGTCAGGAGTGAGCTGGCAGTAAATCACACTGTGCAAGATGGAGTCAACTCTTTAATAGCAAAAACACGGCCCCCTCAGACTGGGTTGAGTATCAGGCCTAATAAGCATGGTAATTCATCCCCAGTAGGTATTGCCTCACAGATCAGTTGCTGAGGCTGAAATTAATAATAATAATAATAATAATAATAATAATAATAATAATAATATTTATACCCTGCCCATCTGGTTAGGTTTCCCCAGCTATTCTGGGTGGCTTCCAACAAAATATTAAAAATACAGTAAAACATCAGACATTAAAATTTCCCTAAACAGGGCCGTCTTCAGATGTCTTCTAAAAGTCAGATAGTTGCTTATTTCCTTGACAGCTGAAGGGAGGGTGCTCCACAGGGCGGGTGCCACCACTGAGAAGACCCTCTGCCTGGTTCCCTGTAACCTCACTTCTCGCAGTGAGGGAACCGCCAGAAGGCCCTCAGAACTGGACCTCAGTGTCCAGGCTGAACAATGGAGGTATACTGGGCTGAGGCCTCCCCACAGCCATCTCCCTGTAGTCATCTAAGTCCCCTCCTCTCCAGGGGATTTTACCAATCAGAGACTGTGTCTGCACATCACCAATCTCTCCTCTGCCCATTTCATGCCTCTACTGGTTCTGGGAGACCAGAGGGGAATGGGAAGCTTGTTGCAGTAGTACAGGGAGACACCTAGGACTCTTCCCCAGCCTGACTCCTCTCTGCCTCTTGGCCTCCCTCCTCTCCTGCTTCAGCTTCTTCCTCTGATTCTGGACTTCTCTCTGCCACAGACTCCCCCTGCTCACTAAGCCCCGTGACCTCTTCAGCTTCTGACACCTCCCTCTCACCTGACCACTCATCATTCTCCCACCACCACTTCCTGGCCCCTGAGCCTTCTAACCTTCTGCGTCCCACACCTTTTACCTTTCTTAACTAGTTTAAAGTGGTATCGCAGTAATCAGAGAGGAATTGAAAGTCAGGTTGTTGGAATACGCCAGGCGTAGGCAAACTCGGCCCTCTAGATGTTTTTGGTACTACAACTCCCATCATCCCTAGCTAACAGGACCAGTGGCCAGGGGTGATGGGAGTTGTAGTCCCAAAACATCTGGAGGGCAGAGTTTGCCTATGCCTGGAATACGCCAAAATGGAAAAAACTGACCGGGAAGCTCAGGAACCAAGAAGACAAAAACTTTAATAAAGAAGGGGGGGGCGGCTTTATTTAGGAGACCACTGTAAGCAGATGAAAACATTAGCAGAATTTTTTTAATAACACTTGTAATGTAGCAAATAACATGGATGAGATGGGGAGATTTATAATATGGATTATGAAATACTATGCAGTTGAAAAGGTGGACAATAGGGATGGGAAAAATCTTGAGATTCAGAGAAATCTCTAAATAGGGATATCTATTTTGTATTACTTTGCACTTGTAAAATCAAACAAAAATTATTTCGAAGAAGAAGAAGAAGAAGAAGAGGGATTGCAGAGCTTTAAATGTACAGTGTGAATCTGACCTTTTTCTGTCTCTTTGTGGACAGTGTGCCTGATGCTGGGGGGCAGGGGGGGTGGAGAAGTGACTAGGGGAGGTGTCACCCACAGCACTAACTCCAGAAATCCAGTTCCAAAATGAGCTAGCAACCCGTGGCTCAACGGGCACGTAGCCTGACTTGATGTTAAGTTAGCATCATAGGAAAGCTGGTCGCTTCCCTGCCAGGGTTTTGGAGAAAGCAGTTCCTCATTGGCCGGCGACGGATTCGTCTCGACGTGACGTGTGTCGTCCTTTGATCAATCCGGGGCCTGTAGAAGACAGAGCTTGTGTCTAAGCCCACTTAGAGGATTGTTTTGTTCTGATGAAAGCCCTGATCAAGTTCCTCTCCTCAGATCGAGCTGAGTTAGCCACTTCAGAAATGGGTCACAGCGGAGAGGACAAATGAATGAGAATGACCAAAAAACAGTATCTAGGTAGCGCTTGGTGATTGGCAATTTTGCTGCTGCGAGGAGGATGGCAGGCGAGCGAGACACACTAACAATGTGGGAAAAGGAAGGACATTTAGACGCTGGAGTCTGATGATAAGGTTAAGTCACAGATGTAGAAACTGCCAGGTAAACAATTGGCCCACATGAGTTTTGATTTGATATACCGAAGAGCAGAAACGCGTATCATACGAGACCACGACGCAAGGCAGCTGCATCCCAGAAGTAGGTTAAATGTAAGGGAAACATTTTTTAAAAATAGGTGGTGCGTGTATCTGTGACGGCAGGCACCATCGTAGAAGGAAGGACACAGCAAACCATTGCCCTAACTAGAATAAAGAACTATTTGATCATGTTTCGACAGCAACCATACTTGGGTAACTCAAGTAATGCAAACTGAGCTGTGTACTAAACAACTGGGATTAAAATCTGGTGGATCATGTATATTTATTTGAACTTCCATTTGCCGCTTTAAAAACAACAACAAAGTCAACATAAAAAGAGTTGCGGAAGTGCTCCAGGGGTTAGTGTCACAACAGGCAGCTGCCAATCAACCCCATACAATATCTGGTTTCTGCTGGTCTGTTAAACCAGCTCAGGTGGACCTCAACGTTTGGAGCTTTCTGGCAGCAGCTGCCATCTGACAACTGCAAGGGCTGTAGCTCAATGGCAGAACAACTGCTTTGCATGCAGAAGGTCCCAGGTTCATTCCCTGGCACCTCCAAGGAGGGCTGGGAGAGAAACCCCCCTAGATTGCTGCTGGTGTAGACCATTCTCAGCTAGGTGGGTCAAGAGTCTGGTTGCTACCTATGTTCTATGTCAGGCACCCCCAAACTCAGCCCTCCAGATGTTTTGGGACTACAACTCCCATCATCCCTAGCTAACAGGACCAGTGGTCAGGGATGATGGGTACTGTAGTCCCAAAACATCTGGAGGGCCAAGTTTGGGGATGCCTATTCTATGTGGACCAAGAAGAAAGGCACTGCTAGTGTTGAACCAAATCTTTGGCTGAGGCCATAGTTTGACCCAAATTTGGGGACAGGCTCATATGCCAAAAAAGGGGGTAAAAATACATCCAGATTTGGGGGGGGGGGGTCAAGAAATGAATCTTGAGGGCAGAGTAAGCTAAACTCATCTACATCTCCCCTGACTCTAGTCTGAGAATGCCCCAGCAGGATTTTGGCATGACATTGTTCCAGAACAGCAGTCTGATGGCAGCAAAACAGCAACTAGCAACTCCAAGGAGCCCAAAAGATTCCAGCAAGCTTTGAACCCACCACCCTCTAAATTCCACCCCTCCCTCTGAAATAAACCAAAATGCCGCCACCTGCTTTCTTGGGGCTGCAAAGGGGGCCTCGAGAAAAGGAGGTGGCATTTCGCAGACACACAGACTCAACTCATGCGGCAGATCGAGAAGTTTCTGGCTTCCTTGCAGCAGTCAACAATTGACATGACCAGTCAGTAATCAACCTGACCTGCTCCTTGCATTGAGCAAAAGTCATTACATCCCATCTCTGAGCCACTGAGTGATGCTCCGGGCAGGCAGTGAGATGAGAGCAATGAGAACCTGTTGGGTTCTTACTTAAAAACATTTATTTGCTTCAGGGGCCCAAACCAGCGGCTGACCTTGTTTTGCTGGCGCACAGGAAGAAAACGATCAATAAGGGGCTGAGTGGAAGAATAGCTGGATTGACTTCTTCGGCTATTCTAGAAGCAACTATTTTCAGAGAGAACCATCATAAATACGAGTGATTAGTCCTTGATCACGTTTCTCTCCCCTTTTTTGCAATCTCATTTCCAGGCCTCCTCAGTAAACACAGTTTCTTTTTCTTCAAGGGAAAATATTCGCTGCAAACAGGGAAAAGAGCACAAATGGACTCACTCTCCTCTTCCTGGGAGGACTAAGATGGGCCAGTGGGAAGGGGGTGAAGACTCAGTTCTCCAACAGGTCTTCCTTTCTGCTTTAAAGGTAAAGGGACCCCTGACCATTAGGTCCAGTCGTGGCCGACTCTGGGGTTGTGCCGCTCATCTCGTTTTATTGGCCGAGGGAGATGGCGTACAGCTTCCGGGTCATGTGGCCAGCATGACTAAGCCACTTCTGGAGAACCAGAGCAGCGCACGGAAACGGCGTTTACCTTCCCGCTGGAGCGGTACCTATTTATCTCCTTGCAGTTTGACGTGCTTTCAAACTGCTAAGTTGGCAGGAGCAGGGAACGAGCAACGGGAGCTCACCCCGTCGCGGGGATTCGAACCGCTGACCTTCTGATCGGCAAGCCCTAGGCTCTGTGGTTTAACCCACAGCGCCACCCGCGTCCCTCCCTTCTGCTTTAATGCTGCCCTATTTCAGCCAGGCTGGGGGACACAGGAAACAAGAGGCGGCTGGATGCTTCAGGAGGTTGGTACAGGCCTTACAGGACTTTGGACAGCTCCTGTTGAAGACAGGCGTTGTTCTGGTAACAGCCCAAAGCTCAACGTGGCTTTAACAGCAAGCAGGGACTTCATGACCACCAGAGTCTCACTTCTGAAGTGGAGTTTCAGGAAATGGAATGGAGGGGGTCACCCTGGCTTGGGGTCATTAGGGTCAGTGTTGGTACTGAAAGGCCTCAGATTGTTCCTTTCGCCTTCTGCATGAGGGGAAGTTGAGCTGCGCTGGGTGGGAGGCAGCCTGATTCGGACCTCTTCTTGAAAACTATTCCTCGTCCTCCTTCAACTTCCAGATCCAGTGGACGCAGGGATAAGGGGGTCTCCCAGTCCATTGATCACAGGAAGTTGCCTTTCACAAGGTCCAGTTATTTTCCCACAGAGGCCACCTTGCACAGTTAAGGTAACTGGCAGACCAAGACCTTTCTGGAGCTCCACATTTCCTGTTCCCTCAGGTTGGGGACTGGGCCCTCCTTCGCTGAAGTTACATCCGTAAGCACATGAAGCAGAGCCTTCATAGTTGTGGCACCTGTACTGTGGAACTTCCTCCCTCTAGGAAATAAGAGGCATTATCAGACTGTAAGGGCACATTCCATTGTGCAAAAACAATCACAGCGTGTCCCGAGGGCCAGAGAGCTGTTTTTGGCCCATCCCTGGTTGAAAACATGTTTTATTCAGGAAGGCTTTTGAAATGAAGCGTGGAAAAAACATAGCAGGTAGCACAAGCAGGATTTAATTTTAAATGAGTATTCTATTGCATTGGATTTCTGGCTCTTTCAAAATGTTGCTTCATCCTGTTTTCCTCAGAGATGCCTTTTCTTTGCAAGGGGTGAATTATTGACATAACAGGCTTAAGGCAGCTCAGTACTATATATAGTGATAATTTTAATACTTTCTCTCTCCTTTGTATTTTCTTTATGGGGTTTTATTTATAAAATTCTTCCCCACAGGGCTTCAAGATAAAAAGATAAGTCGAAAGGTAATTTAGTCTAGATTATATCAAGGGCAGGAAGCAAACATTATCCTTTTACAATTGTATAATCAATTAAGGCTTTCCATATTTTCTCAAATGGGTCCTTTATCTTTTATCTCCTGGTTGCTCTTAGTTCTTTCTCTTCACTTGCCTCAGTTGGTTTGTGGAGAAGCAACTTGTAAGATCACAGAAATTGGAGAGTTGGAAGGTACCCGAAGGATCTTCTAGTCCAACCCTCTGCAATGCAGGGATCTCAACACATGGTTCCCCATCTAATTTGAAACCATACCGGACCCTGCTTAGCTTTGCAAATGTGCCAATACTGTAGAGTAGAATACTGGCTGGGGTTCCATTTAGATCTCATATAACCCATTTTAAAACAACTGCACTGATTGCTGGTTCATTTCCAGGCTCACATTAGCGTTTAAAGCCATAAATGACTCATGCCCCAAATATCCGAAAGACCGCGGGCTGAGATTGACAGGGGCACTCTTGGTAGTTACTCCACCCTCAGAGACTTGGGGACAGGGCCTTCTCTATGGTGGCCCCTAAACTGTGAAACTCCCTCCCTACAGAGGTGTGCCTGGCACTTTCACTGCACAGCTCCTGGTGAAAGCTTTACCCTGGCTTTTGGTACTTGGGGTGTATATTGTTTTGCACCCACCTTCTTTATATTTTTGTGATTGGAAGTTGTTTCAAACGGCTTCACCTTAGGGTGAAGGGGTGGGTAATAAACAAACAAACAAGTAAATAAATAATACAACAGCAAACAACCTGTGGCTGTTTTAAAAAGTGCCACCCCTATTACATGCTGCGACTGTTTACTTGCAAAGGTAGGTAATAGCGGGAGGAATAAAACAGCCAAATCAGTTCTGTTTGCAACATCCTGCAGAGAGAAGGATTACACCTCTTGAGTGTTTGAAACATTGTTCTGAGGATGCTGAGCCTGGGAAACTGGATCCATCCCTCTATTGAAGTCATACAGAACATGTTCTCACAGAGTGGAAGGAAACAGCCTTGGTGTTTGGGCGTCATGGCGACGGCGATGAGACAAGCAGCGGCCGAGATGGGGCACGACAGTTGCCTGCCCTGGTTCCTAACTGAATCACAGCATTCCCACTTGTGCTGGAAAGCAGAGGGCAAGTCACCCATGATCGTTACAGCTCTGGGCCTGATGCCACGGCTGTAAGTTGCTTGTGGGACTTCTGTGAAAACAGGGGGCTGTGCCTGCCAACCCACCCAGAAATGTCTCCGCTGCAGGATGCAGGTTGAAGAGACACTGGGCGGAGTCACAACTCCGAGAGTGGCTTAATATATACCCTCCAACATTTCTCTGATGAAAATAGGGATTTCCTATTCCATTGTTGTTGTCATTACTGTTATTTTATTATTTATACTGTACACCACACATCTGACTGGGCTGCCCCAGCCACTCTGGGCGGCTTCCTACAATAATAATAATGATAATAATAATAATAATAATAATAATTTATTTATACCCCGCCCATCTGGCAGGGTTTCCCCAGCCACTCTGGGCGGCTTATAATGAAATATTAAAATACAATACTCTGTTAAACATTAAAAGCTTCCCTAAACAGGGCTGCCTTCAGATGTCTTCTAAAAGTCTGGTAGTTGTTGTTCTCTTTGACTTCTGGTGGGAGGGCGTTCCACAGGGCGGGTGCCACTACCAAGAAGGCCCTCTGCCTGGTTCCCTGTAACTTGGCTTCTTACAGCGAGAAAAACACAATAAAAATAAAAACACAATAAAACATTAAAAAAACCAACTTCCTTATCCAGGGCTCCCTTCAGATGTCTTCTAAAGGTTGCATAGATACTTCTCTCCTTTCCTCAGGGGTCACAATAACTCCATGCCCTCCAACTTTTCACCGATGAAAATAGGGGCGTCCTAACAAAAAGTGGGACATTCCGGGATCAAATCAGAAACTGGGACGGCTTCTGTAAATCCGGGACTGTCCCTGGAAAATAGGGGCACTTGGGAGGGTCTGTACTTCACAGCTGACTCTGAAAATTTTAGCTCTGTGAGCGCCTAACAACTATCAGCAGCCCTAACAAATTACAGCTCCCAGAATTCTTTGTGGGAAACTTAAAAAGTGGTGCCATAATGCTTTAAATGTACGTTGTGAATGTGGCCATGGTGCCAGTCATATGGATGCCCACACAGGGCCTTCAGAGCAAAGGGGGAAAGCATTTGGAGTCTCCTGAGGAGAATTCAGGCCAATCACAGAATTTTGGGTTTCCTTGTTGCCAATTTCTTCTGAGAGGGATTTGCACTTGTCCAGCTTTTCAGCAGCATCTTAAGTCAGCATCTTAAAAAGCAGGGACATCACCTTGCCGACAAAGGTCCGTGTTGTTAAAGCTATGGTTTTCCCAGTAGTGATGTATGGAAGTGAGAGCTGGACCATAAAGAAGGCTGATCGCCGAAGAATTGATGCTTTTGAATTCTGGTGCTGGAGGAGACTCTTCAGAGTCCCATGGACTGCAAGAAGATCAAACCGATCCATTCTGAAGGAAATCAGCCCTGAGTGCTCACTGGAAGGACAGATCCTAAAGCTGAGACTCCCAATACTTTGGCCACCTCATGAGAAGAGAAGACTCCCTGGAAAAGACCCTGATGTTGGGAAAGATGGAGGTCCCAAGGAGAAGGGGATGACAGAGGACGAGATGGTTGGACAGTGTTCTCGAAGCTACCAGCATGAGTTTGACCAAACTGCGGGAGGCAGTGGAAGACAGGAGGGCCTGGCCTGCTCTGGTCCATGGGGTCATGAAGCGTCGGACACGACTAAATGACTAAACAACAACAAGCTTTCAAGGTGGTTTCCGGAACCGGTCCTCTTGGATCTCTCTTCTTCCACTACTCCAGCCCTCTCTGACTTCATCATCTCCATCCCCATGAGCTTTGCTTTCATTTCACGGAGGGTCATTTACTAGCATCGCCAGCTCATCGCAGGGCTTGTTTAGCAGCCAATTAAAACACCAGAGATGTGTGCCAGAGAGTCAGTGCGTCATACGAGCCGGATCTGCCGCCAACACCACCTTGTCGACTTACGGTCTCAGTGGCACCCGCAGATGTGCATGCAATCATTCATCGCTGGGCCTCTCTGTGGACACTCCCTGATTTAAACATGTAGAAAGGGATGCTTCAAAACCAGAGAAAGAGGCTTGTTAAAAACAGATGCAGAGAAGAGGCAGAATAAGCAACTGGGTGGAAGGAGGGCTGGTGAATCCAGGGCCCTCCAAAAGTTGCTAGACCACAGCTCCTGTTATCCTTGACTGTTGGCCACGGCAGCTGAGGATGATGGGACTTGGAGTCCATCCAAAGGCAACAAGTTCACCAGTCCAGCATTTTATATAATAATAATATAATAATAATTTATTATTTATACCCCGCCCATCTGGCTGGGTTTCCCCAGCCACTCTGGGCGGCTTCCAACTGAATATTAAAAACAATACAGCATCAGACATTAAAAACTTCCCTAAACAGTTGTCTTTTAAAAGTAAAATAGTTGTTTATTGCCTTGACATCTGCTGGGAGGGCGTTCCATAGGGCGGATGCCACCACCGAGAAGGCCCTCTGCCTGGTTCCCTGTAACCTCACTTCTCACAGCAAGGGAACCGCCAGGAGGCCCTCGACGCTGGACCTCAGTGTCCAGGCTGAAGGATGGGGCTGGAGACGCTCCTTCAGGTATACAGGTATACATTGTGCTCTCGTGGCTCCGTTGCTCAGGTGCAAACGTGGTCCAAGAGCTGCAATTCCCAGGTAGAGCACCTGGGTAGTGTTGGGAATTGAAATGTAGGAGAGTAGATTCCAGTTCAGTGTGCAGACAATACCACGATAGATGGACACATGGTTCATAGGTTCCGTTCACCAATTCATAAACAGCAAGGTCACCCCAGCTCTTACACCACCCTAGGATTCTGGGTTGAAAGGTGGGGAGAAATAAAGGCTTGTTGAATACACAAAACTATTTTGTGCTTGTTTGGGGCTCAAAAATAAACACATCAAAATGAAGTGGGTACTTTTGCGCTAGAGAGAACGCAAGGAAGTACTGTCTGTTCTGTTCCCTGTGGTTACTACCGACTGACCACGGATGATGCATTCTGCCACCATGAAAACGGGGACATCCATTTGACACCCTGTGTGTAGCAGTCAGAGAACAACGAACAAAAGACTCTCGTAGTTAATATTATCCGCGGGGAACACATTAACGCAGGACACGAATCAGTAGAGAACATTCATGTAATGGGGAAAGTGCTCTTTGCTTTAATAGGTATGCTCAAGTAGTGGTAGTAATACTAATAACAACAGATAATCCTAAAACAGGGACAGGCCAAACACCAGAACAGAGACCCAACAGCTAAAAGCCTTTTGCTTCAGGATGCAAAAATGGGAAAACAGCCAAACTCTTGGCACCTGCAAGCAAAAATACTCACCGCAGCCAACTTGCACAGTTAATGTACTTTATATATTTCATTTTGTTCATTTTTACATTTCTAACCCACCTTTCCTTTGTGGCTGGGACGGGATTTGAACCCTGACCTCCCAGGTCCTAGCCTGACGCTCTAACAACTACGCCACACCAGCTTGATAGAGAGCAGTCCTTCATTCCAAGGAAACCAACTCAGGGCATGCAATGAACCCCCTCAAACTTCGAAGAATGGGGTGCATGCTGGCCATGCGCTGCTGAGGAACGTGTTTTAAATTTTCCTCAGAATTGGCCGGTTTAAAAGCTTTTTTGTTATTCTGAGCAGCCTGTCTCTACACTGTACTGACAGTTCCCCAAGTCCCTTCAGTCGACCTTCCTATTTAGTGAAATTGCTGATCTATTTACCGCAGTCTCCTCTGGCGTCATCCGAGTGACTTGGAGGATACACTGGGCCTGCGCTGTCGATTCCACCCCCCATCCCCTGCTGCGTCCTTCCTGCTAAGGACACGGTTCTAGAGGAGACCAGGAAGTGGACATTTCACCTTTCCAGCTCTGGAGATCACATGCACTGTGATCATTTGGCTCTAGGTGCATTCTACGAAGTAGGTCAACATTTGCGTGGCAAGTTCCCGTCCCCACCTCAGTGGAAATAAAGACACATGACACAATTATTAAGGTTAATGGGCTAAATAAGGCCACAACTTTATTGGTTACAGGTGATGAGCGGTATTGGCTTAGGCATTGGTCCTAACCGACTATATCCGCCTTCAGCCCGTCCGCTTGAAATCCGGGAAGTGTTAACCACCAGTAGGGGGAGTCCTGTTGATGCACATCAACTAGGAACTCCCTAGGGAGTTCTTCCAATAGGGGGTGTGCCTTAGGCCAGCATTTCCCAACCTTGGGCCTCCAGCTGTTTTTGGACTACAACTCCCATAATCCTCAACTAGCAAGACCAGTGGTCAGGGATGATGGGAATTGTAGTTCGAAAACAGTTGGAGGCTCAAGGTTGGGAAACGCTGCCTTAGGCCCTCACCTCCCCAGGCTTCGGACAGGGCCACGCCCCCTGGAATCCTTTAGAGGACTACCCTTCAATATGTAAACCAAGGTACCACTGCAAATGTAATAAATAAGTTTGAAAAGAGCAGAAACATGATGGACTCACATGACAGACCAGCCCAGGTAGATCGTGGTGCTGCCCCAATACATGGGATTGTCCAACACGTTGAACGGAAAAGACGTCACCTTTGCCTCCATGAGGATGCCGAAGTAGTCCCCTAGAAAAGAAACAGACACGAGGATTAAGGCGGGGCTTGCCAACATGGTACCCATGTCTCCTTTAGGTGCTGGAGAAAGGTCTCAGCAGACGTTCCCTCCAAGATCCATAATGCACAAGGAGACAGCCTGCTCCTTCTGATTTAATTCCACGTGGCTCAACCGTCCCAATTTAAGAGGGACACCCTGGCATTACAGATGCCACCCCAGTTTCCGATTTGATCCCGGAAGGTCCTGGTTTCCTTTTCCCCTCCCCTCCATGTCCCAGAGAACAATTAAAAGTGATGGCAGGGCAGATTCGAGGGTAAACTGTACGTGGAACGAGTCTGCCCCTGCGGCTTGATGGAGGTAGAAACTGTTTCTCATGTCTTGTTACGCTGCCGTTTCTACGGGGATATACGCTCAGTATTTATCACTCCTGTTATAAAAAAATATCCAAATGGGTCCGAACTTCAATGTCTAAAACTCCTGGTAGAGGACAAGGACCCAGAGATCATGATAAGGGTGGCCAAATTCTGTGTGACTGCCATAAAACTTAGGGAACAAGCTGTACTACCAAAATGACAATTTTAGGTTATATTTTAGTGATAAAGATTTAATATATATTTTTAACTGCCGCTATATCTGAATTGTTTCTGTTACACCCAATTGCAATTCAATGTATTCCTGTTGTTTTATGATTTTCCTGATACTGTAAGTGAGCAGGAACTGGTCTGTGACCGTAATAATAAAATTCATTCAATTAAAAGTGATGTGCGTATGTTCGTAGGTGCAAAACCAGAGTCCTGTTTATCCTGAAAATAAAATTCCTGCACCGAGTGAAGGAAATGGTGAAGCTGGCATATGAAGCCACTTCCTATAATTTTGAAGGAAAATGTCACCAGTCCACTTTATTTAATTGCAACGCTTCAGCAGCCAGTCATTTTTAAAGGAAATGCAGGGAGCGCTTATTCCTTTATTGTAAATGGAGCCTTACACTGTCTACTCAGAAGTCCCATTGTAGTCAATGCAGCCTACTCTCAGGTAACTGGGTAAAGACTGTGCAGCCTTCTGGGCACAATATATAGGGTATAATATACCACTTGGAATCATGGGGAAAGCTGTGGAAAGAAAATTTAAAATTTACAGCATGCAGCTCATTGGAAGAAAATTATATTAAAATGATGTATAGATGGTATTTAACACCTGTAAAGCTTGCTATGTAGTATAAAAAACTCATCTAATCTATGTTGGATATGTAAGGAAAAAGAAGGTACTTTTTCCATATGTGGTGGATATGTAAAAAAGTTAAAGGCTTCTGGGAAATGATATATAATGAAATGAAAAAGATGTTCAAAAATATGTTTGTTAAAAAACCAGAGGCCTTTTTACTAGGAACATTAGGAGATGAAGTACCAAAGAAGCAAAAGCGATTATTTATGTATGCAACCATAGCTGCCAGAACGTTACTTGCCCAGAAGTGGAAAAAAGAGACCACACCAGTGAAAGAAGAATGGAGGACTAAGATGATAGACTCTTCCGAAATGGCAAAACTAACCGTGAAGATCAGGCACCGAGATGAAGGAAAATTTAATCAAGAGTGGAAAAACTTTATAGATTATTTTAAAGATCATTGTAAGAATGTGGAAACATTAGCAGGATTGTTGTAGCATTTATGAACTGAAGGTAGAATTACAATATGAAAAATAATTGGAAATTAAATGGATGGATGCAATGGAAATTATAAAGGGACAATTGGAAACCAGAGGGTGGGGAGAGTCAATCAATGTAAATTTGGATTGGATATTGATGTATAAGAAAATTGTTATTATTAGAAAAATCAAAAATAAAATATTATTTTTTTAAAAGACTGTGCAGCCTTACACTGCAATCCTAAGCATTTTTACTCAGAACTATGTCCCACTGAGGATTTGCTCTGTGGTATGTTTCTGATCTGGGACGCGGGTGGCGCTGTGGGTAAAACCTCAGTGCCTAGGACTTGCCAATCGCATGGTCGGCGGTTCGAATCCCCGCGGTGGGGTGAGCTCCCGTTGTTCGGTCCCAGCTCCTGCCCACCTAGCAGTTCGAAAGCACCCCTAAGTGCAAGTAGATAAATAGGTACCGCTTTATAGCGGGAAGGTAAATGGCGTTTCCGTGTGCTGCGCTGGTGCTGGCTCGCCAGAGCAGCTTCGTCACGCTGGCCACGTGACCCAGAAGTGTCTCCGGACAGCGCTGGCTCCCGGCCTCTTAAGTGAGATGGGCGCACAACCCTAGAGTCGGACACGACTGGCCCGTACGGGCAGGGGTACCTTTACCTTTACCTTATGTTTCTGATCATTCTCACAGTTTCCTCCATCATCATCATCATCATCATCATCATCATTTCCTGCCTTTTCCCCTGACAGGGACTCATTACATTTTTCTGTTGAAGGTGTTGTACGTGATCCCTTCCCTCACACATTCTTTTTTTACAACAATCCTGTGAGGTAGGTTCAGTGGAGAGGTTGCCATTGGTTCAGGGTGACCGGCGTCAATGTGTATAGGATGTCAATGTTCGGAGAGATCTAAGGTGCGAGAAGCTTCGCGATGTAGAATAAGATGTCCCTATTTTCATCGCTTTGCAATGACAAACCTAGACAGCATCTTAAAAAGCAGAGACATCACCTTGCCGACAAAGGTCCGTAAATTTAAAGCTGTGGTTTTCCGAGTAGTGATGTATGGAAGTGAGAGCTGGACCATAAAGAAGGCTGATGGTCGAAGAATTGATGCTTTTGAATTATGGTGCTGGAGGAGACTCTTGAGAGTCCCATGGGCTGCAAGATGATCAAACCTCTCCATTCTGAAGGAAATGAGCCCTGAGTGCTCCCTGGAAGGACAGATCCTGAAGCTGAGGCTCCAGTACTTTGGCCACCTCATGAGAGGAGAAGACTCCCTGGAAAAGACCCTGATGTTGGGAAAGATGGAGGGCACAAGGAGAAGGGGACGACAGAGGACGAGATGCTGGGACAGTGTTCTCGAAGCTACCAGCATGAGTTTGACCAAACTGCGGGAGGCAGTGGAAGACAGGAGTGCCTGGCGTGCCCTGGTCCATGGGGTCACGAAGAGTCGGACACGACTAAACAACAACAACAAATTTTCATCGGAGAAATGTTGGAGGGTATGTAATTCCAGGAACGGGTTCTCGCTTCCGCTAAGCTGACTGGGGCTCCGGCTGCGCTGCGTTTCTCAAAATGCACCACCGACCTCCTGCAAAGCAACTTCTCATCTTCTTCTGCCTCCCCTCCACCTTTGGACATAACAGAGAGCCTGTTGCCAGCAAGATAGGGTTGCAAGATGTCCGTTTCGGAAGAGAAGGCAGATAAGGGCAGAAAGGAAAATTACTGGGAATGTGGGTAGCTGCTAAAGGAGCGAGAGAGCCCGGGAGATGTTTATGTACTTAGCTGGGATTTAGATTTATCGCCTGTCCGATCCCCAGAGGTGAAGGGGGAGTGATGATAAAAGTAACAATAATATAAAAATGTAATAAAAAGTGGAATCTGCTACAAGATGTTGCAGTACAAAGTGCTTCTATTCAGGATCACAATTACTCATTTCATTACATTCCTTCCTTTCAGCACAGTCAGCCAAGGTTCTGCAGCCACTGAACATGTTGAGCTCCCCCCATCTTAAAGGTTCCCTCCAATTTTCCCCCTTCTTCTGCAAACGTTGGGGTTGCCACTCAGTCTGTTGATATCTTCCCCTTGTTTGTGGCTGAGCCAGTTTTGGACATATAAGCAATGCACTCACATCCTGAATGCTGGAAATAAGTGGGAGTAGTAGTAGTAGTAGTAATAATAATAATAATAATAATAATAGTAAATTTATATGCCACCCTTCTGATTGGGTTGCCCTAGCCACTCTGGGCGGCT